AAAAAAAATGTAATAACTATCATTAACTATCAATTTGAATGGATACATTTGTGTATAATTCCACACAGTTTATAATTTATCACTTAATTAGAAATATTATATTAAAATAAATTTGAATATAATTATATATTTATACAGAATACAGCATCATTTCATGAAAATATTTTGAATTTTTTCTCTTGTTTTCTGATAAAAAAATATAATTTATAGGTATATATTTAAAATAGAAAATTCATATATTAAATTCACGTTAGTAGAATTAATGTATTATAATTTATTTTATCACTCAACATTTGAGTTTGAATTGTGCTTTCTTAAAATTTTCATGCGGTTCACAGAGGTTATTTATTAAATATTTTTTACATATAACACTTTATTAATGTGTGTATTTCTCAAGATATTGAAATATTTTATTTGTATGACATTATAATATAGTATTAGATTCCATTAAAATATATTTGACGCAATATTGTCAGCGTTTCTACAATCAACAAACGATTATTTTTTGATTCAACGATCAATAGAATAGTTATCAACTTACTTTTTACATTTACCATTAAAGCAGGAATAATATTTTTTTTACTGTTAACTGATTTCTATTATAATAATTCACCTGCAAATGCAACAAAGTAAAGAGAAAATATTTACAAAACAATAGATAAACTCCATGTGTATACTCTGATATATTTAGTGCTATGGCAAATTTCAAAAGTCTACGTTTATATCCAAAATGAAAACACATTATCAACATCACAAAGACAGTTCAAAAATAAATTCAATTTTGCCGGGTTCTTGAGGAACTCCAGGAAATTACAAAACTGTTCAAGTAGCTAAAAAGCGGCAACTTTTGATTTAGCAGAAATACAGACAGAAACGTATACACATACATTCAATAATAATGAAAAAGTTTAAGATGTAGGGTATAGTGCAAGAACAGGGGATTTGAGTCGATAAAAAGTAAATAAGTGGATGTTCAAGTTGACAAATTCGTAAAATCGACATATTCAATTAGAAACTGGAAAAAAGAAATAAATAGTTTACTCAGTGGAAATTATTCTTTACGATTTTTTTTAACTGAATTCAGTATACATATGGATATATACCTAACGATACAATGTCTGTGTGAAAAATTAAGACTAAAAAATAACTCGATGAAATATCAATAGTCTTAATATAAAAATAAAAAATTATAAATTTTATGTCATTTGTATCAAGTTCTCAAAATTCAAAAATATAAATATGTTTATCGCATAAAAAAAAAAAGTGACATTTTATAGGGTAATTTATTAGCTATACAATACTAAATATATCATATAGGTACATTTTATTTTTTAAAACTGCAACATGAAAATGTTATACTCGTACTTTATTCAATCACAAATTATTATGCTATAATTTATTTAAATTAAAATTATTCAATTAATAAAATTGTAACAAATAAATAGGTATTCAAAAAAAATATATTAACTTACGTAGTCTAGAAATATTATTATATTGTAATATTATAGTTAAGAATCGATTTTATGTAAAATTTAATGATGATAATAAAGTGAATATTTTAACTTTACACAACCGTTGTGAGTTTTAAATAAATACAATATGCTTATTGTTGCGTATAACATATTTAATTGATTTTAAATATCAACCACAATATATAAATTGATAAAACAGTTATTAAAATCAATAATAATATATTTTTGTGTACATTTTCAAAGACATATAGTTTGACATAAGCTTATTATGAATATTTTAAATATATAATGTTTGTCTATAATTTTGCAATTGAATTGAAAACACTATTCAGTTTATCATGTTTTATGATTTTATTCAGGTATAATTTTGAATATCCTTGGTTCTTCTTAATTTGATAGTTGTTCTAATTTTTTAACGTATGAAAATACTATAAAATCACATAAGTATTTAAGTGTTGAAAAAAATTAAAATTTGATGATTTTTAATCTAGTTTAACTCAAATTTATTTACCTAATGCTCGGTGATTAAAATTGTTGCATATTATAGTTTTTTCACAATATTAACAGAGTTTCGATGATGTTTTATGCTGCAGAGAATAAAGTGAAACAAATGTCCTGCGACGAGTAGTTTTTGATTTCTACTATAATTACTTAAAGAGTGTTTAAAGTCAGTGCATAACATTTCTATATTAAGATGTACATACGAGTACATTCTACACATAATAATAATATATAAATTTACAATATTATAAATTATGCTATATATTAATTTTTTCACCAAAAATATTTTCATTCATTATCATTGAAAAAATAAATATCTAAAGTACGAAAGACTATTCTGAACAGAGAATACGTTCTGTTAGCTTATATTTCTAAAAAAATTTTATTAGTTATTTTATACTTATAACTAATAAATATTATTATAAGTAATATATATTTTATAAGTAATAAAATAGGTTAGAGTAATTTTGGTTAAAAATAAACCACATATTATAATCAATAATAAAATTAACATTATAATATTATTTAATAGAAATATTATTACTAATTTACGTTTCGTAAAAGTAGTGTTAATAGTATCGCAATATAAATAGTTTAAAATTATTCTAAATATGATTATAAATAATATATTAAGTATAAACTTATAGTTATATGTATACATTAATGCAGTAGTTAAATTTTCGAATCCTTAAGGAAAGTATTTTTTGAATTACAACAAAATAACTAACATTGTTATTTATTGTATAAATAGCCAATTTAATCTATATTTTAAATTGAAATGTTAATAGAAAAAAAAAATATTTCATATTTATTTCTAATATTTTTAAGTGTCATCAAAAACTTATAAGAAACCTCACTATAAAAGTATGAAGTTAAAAATTTAATCAATTTAATATTTTACAAAACAATTTCCTAATTTTTGTGATATTTGAATTGTATTATTACATATTTAAACTTTTATAAGTGCATTATATTTAAATACACGTTTTTGAGTTTTATTTTATAATGAATTTCGAATCCTGACTATCCCATGATCCATATATATGCTAAAATACAGCATTTTAGTATAAACTACAATTAGGTATACTACCAAATGGATCTATATTGTAGTTGTGTAGTGTTTCTATGGAAGTCAATCGTTGTTTTGAATGTTAATGATATTTGTATGGAGTGTTATATTTGATAGGGAGTATCTTGACGATTTGCCAATCACTCATTTATTTCGTTATTTTAACTGTCAAATTCTCCGGATATAGCCTGTATATATTATATGGCCACAGTTGATTTGTGATCCTATTAAATATTAGTGGACTCGCGTATTCCATAATATTATTATATTTAAATGTTCATACTTGATTGCCAAATGTTGACTGTTGAACTATTTACAGTGTAAACCTTGATATATGAAATAACTGTATGCCAATAATAGCATTTTTTTTTTTTTTATGTTCTTTTATACTTTTACCTTTTACGTATATTTTTCTGTTCAAATAAATCTCAATATTAACATTTAGAGTATTATGACGTGAGAGAATATTTTTATAACATTTTATATTCTGAATGGGGCGATGGGTTTAACATTGATTTTATAATGAAGTGTGTCTTTTATTTATTTGTATGTAGGTATAAGTTTATGTATATGTCCAAAAAATTGTTTACGAAAAATCATCAATTTTGAGGATTGTTTCAAGTTGAAAATTTAATCTATTTTGTTCTTCGGTGTAAAAAATAAACGAATATCCATTAAAATTGTTATATTATTAATTATTATTTAGATATATTGATTATCAAAACTTACTTCGCTCAAAATAATCTTTTATTGTATAAAATCATTTATTATTGAATTCAAATTTAACACATCTATTACAATGATTTATCTATATGTATAGTCGACATTTATAGTGAACAGCAAATCAATTACTTACTTAAAGTCCTTATTTTTTATTATTATTATTATAGTTTATCTGTATTATTTATTGATCTATTAAATTATATTATTTATTCCAGTTTAATTAAAAATAAAGTCAAATCAGATTCAGTAATATTCGTAAAGACTTCAACTCCGTCATAGAGTTTTATATTCCTATATTCAGTATTTGTTGACTTATATATTGATAGCTCAAAAATATGACGGATTATATAATATGTGTTACAGAAAAATCTTAAAATCAATGCAAATCTTGAATACATATTTTTGATGGTTAGACAAACCATAAAATGGGTTAAATTTTATTTATAATAATTATATAGATATTAATATACGTTTTTTAAATTAAAAATTAAAAAAAAAAATGTATTATATTATTGTTAAAAAATAAATCAGTTACACTATAAGTCTTTAACTAACATTACTGTTTAATATAGGTTTTATCTGTATTTTATATTTGAGAAGATCACTGTAATGAATGAGTTAAATTTGAATTCAATGAATATAAAAGAAAAAAAAGTTTATGAAAAAATAAAAAGGATAAATTAGCATAATATACTTCTAAAGATTATTTATATTATTATTAGAGTAGGTATTTATTTCGTTATTCAGTAATGGATATTTGAATCCGTCAAAATTTGAATTTCAAAAAATTATTATGTGACTAGTTTTGTATATTTTTAACTAATGTGTATATAAAAAACAAATCAGAATTAAGAATATAATGGGACATATTATAATAATTTACTTATACAAAAATGTTTAGTACATTTATTTATTATATATATCATATTGATCGAAATTTTATAGAAACGAGTGTAGCTTAACCATGTAAATGCATTTTCAGCATAATGTATTTTTAATTATTGCTATCATAGTATTATAATTATAATTTATAATAAGTAGAATGATGTTTTATATATTTTACATTTTTTGAATTAAGTGCGGTATATTTTTCCATCTCAGTGTAAAAATTAAAAAAAAATATTGTACCTACTTTTGTAGTCTTAACATTATGTTAGATATAAGTATATTCATTCAGTTTCTTCTTTCTACTGTTATTTTATTTGATATTAATTCAACCATCATTTACATTTCAGATTTGCTCGAGCATGCACCAGTGATCAAGGAGTGATATCTCTAGCAAGGTTTAGTCCAATGCATAAAATCGGTGAGTTAACGTATAATTTTATTATAAGTATATTTTTTTTTTTAATTAATTTTTGAAAATATTGGTTAATACCTATGAAAATAGCATTAAATATCTTAAGTGATTAAAATATAAACTTAAAATTTAAGACTTTAGGTTATAAAACAATAGTCTTTATACGAGCACTAAAATAATATTTTATCGATATTTACCAACTATAGTCATTAAATGTGTTGTTTTTCTTAAAACTCTAATTTATAAAATATCATAATATACTATAAATTTTAAACAATAAATTGCCTAATACAGTGTGTTTCACAAAACATTTTGGCTTTCATTTGTTCCTGTTAATGAATTTATTAAAATTTCTACTTTTAAAATTTTTAAATATAGTTTATGATGATATTTTTAAACTCTTAACATTTTTTTTTTATTATTAAAATAGTATCTTATAGTTATACTAACTTTTAATTTTCAAATTATAAATCCCTTTCTACTACACACATAACCGGAAAACCAATTTAATTTAAACAGCATATAATGCTAGGTCCATGTCATTATATGTGTTTTAATTAATCATGAATAGTAAACTTACGGTAAATATAACACGATAATATTTTAAAGTTACGACTAATGACTATTGACTATAATATAACTAATAAACAAAACTTTCTATTAGGTTTACAATTTTTACAAGTAGAGGACTTTTAATATTAAATTTGTATACTTCTTTTTTAATACCGTAAAAAAATACAGCTAGAAATAGTTTCAGTTATCATGTATTTTATCATGCATATTTTCGTATACACTGATATTTTTCTGCTAATTGAGAGATACTTGGGTTTAATTTTATTTTATAAAACATAATTGTTTTATTTTATTTTTTTGAACTATTTTGCACATTTTTATTTAAAAGAAGTTTATTAAACATTAAGTAATTTTTAAACTAATTGATAAAGTCTTGATGCACAGTCAATTCCTGCGGGTCGATTTGAGTCAATAATTGTATCAGAATAGGATATTCCCTTGTAATATTTGACGTTATTCTAATTTTAGATACTTATTTTTAATTATTGATCCACTAAAAAATATATTATTATAAAAAGATCGCATATTTTGTGGTATACATTTTCTGACAAACAGTGAAAAAAATTTAAAAACAAATTATACTTAATAAATAAAATACAAGTAATATACATAAGGAGGCATTTTTGGATAGTGTTTGTACAGAAGTTAATGTACAGCTGAAATCAAAGCTAATAGACAAAGTATATAGGCTAGTAAACACTTCTTTTTTTTTTTTGGAGATAGGAAAATAAAATTGACATGTATCAATGAGAAAATTGGCGAAATTCTATTTAAAAAATCAGAAACAACAAATAGTTAGAAAGAAGATCTGGTAAACCTATACAAAAAAGAAGAAGATTCAGGCACATAATTTGAGGAGGAAGAAGAGTAGATGGATTAAACCCAGAAGGTGAAGATCAAACTATAATAAAGAAGGGATTCGAAAAAGCCTAAAATGAGTTAAAGGATAAAAAGATTCTAAGCGAAGACGAAATACTAGCAGAATTTATTAAAAACAGTGAAGAAAATGTCAAGAATATGCTATATGAAATAGTCTAAAGAATCTATAAAACTGGAAAAATACCTCGAGATTTTACAAAATGTATTGTAGTATTATTTAAGATTTTGAAGAAGTCAAAGATTGCAAACTCAGATAAAAGAATAATTTAAAAGTCTTTATAAGAACGAGGTAAGAGTAGTGTGCTATAGGGATAGCCAGGAAACAGAAGAAATTAAAAAAGGCGTAAGTCAATATGTTCCTTATCCCTATGTTTGTTCAACCTCTATGTACAAGAAGCCGTTAACCCAGTAAGGGAATTAATTAAAGCAGGAATAAAGATACAAGGCGAAAGAATAAATATGCTTCGGTTCGCGGATGACATAGCAATGTTAACGGAGAGTGAAGAAGAATTACATAATATTCTAACGGTTTTGAATATTATACTCAAAGATGAATATAACATGAAAATAAATAATTCAAAATCTTAAGTCCTCGTTTGTAGTCGAAATGAAGTAAGTCAGATATAAAACTAGATGGTGACATGCTTGAAATAGTATATGAATATAAGTATTTAGGAAGTATGATAACAAACGATGGAGGATACACTCAAGAAATAAGATGCAAATTACAACAGGCATGATTTGTATTCCAAAAAGAGAAGAGCCTACTTATTCCTAGAAATATAGACTTGAAAATAAAGATAAACCTACTAAAGATTTACGTCTAGAGCGTAACACTTTATGGAAGTGAGACATGGTCAATAAAGAAGGCAGGATAAAAGAAAATAATTGCATTCGAAATGTGGTACTATAGGGGAATTCTCAAAATAAGTTGGATGGATTGTATAACAAATGAAGAAGTTTTCCGAAGAGTAGAAGAGAAAAAAAATGTCTTAAAAGCTTTGAAAATAAGAAGAGCTAAGCTAAATTGGACATACACTACGACATAACAATCTACTAGGTAGGATAATAGAAGGATATATAGAAGAGAAGAATAGTCGAGGAAGACCACTACTCGAATACATAGCCAAGTAGTTAAAGATATATGGGTGTGAAACATACTATGAACTAAAGCGTGAAGCGGAGAAATGTGAAAAATGGAGGAATGATTCCATCTAGCCCTTTGACTATTAACAAAAAAAAAATAAAAAATATATACATAACTACAAGTATTTAATAATTTCATAAACTGAGATAATAAAATGATGTAACTATCTCTCTTTTAAATTAATTAAAGTATATAAAGTGGTTAAAATATATTTAAAAAAAAATTATATGTGAGTGTTTTTTTTTTTTTATACTTTTTTTGTAACATCATGTCCTCCATATTAATAGTTATCATATATACGATAATTGTTCTGAAATAATATTCTAAATTATACTAAGATATACTTTGTGTACAAGATTATATACTAATAGGTAGATATTTGGTCAAATCTCGGGAAAAGGAGAGTGTTAAGTTTTTATTTAATACGAGTACATATTTACATAATTACATTGTTCACCTAAAATATTTTCTAATGTGCAGTTATAATTCATACACCCATTGTTTATAAAATAAATAACGATTAAAAATAATTAAACATAATACTTCTATAACAAAAAAAAAAAGTAATAAAAAATAAATAACTTAATATTTTTTACTGACTACTTTAATGTACCTTTAGTAAAATTAAACATTTTTATTTTTGGGATAAGCTGAGTCATGTCAAAGATAAAAATGATTGGTTTTATTAATAGATCAAGTTAATTTACAAATTATAACAAATCTCTTGAACTCTTTGATAATTCATGTCATGAAATAATTAACTATAAGATTCATTAAATAATAAATATAAATGTTTATTGGAACTATATTATTTTAGTGTTTTGGACGTTTATTTAATTTAACTAGGTCCCTGTTAGTCTATTTTTCTGATCACTATTTTTATGCATTATGTTTATTATAGTATAGTGTTATATAAAATTAAACCCAGTGTACATGAGCGATAAGAATGTACTTTATATAAAATCCTCATCATCATTATATGTAACGGTACTTAAAAGGTATACTATCCACCTTTACATAATATATTTAGGTGCATACATTATATACTATATCATAGTAATTAATATGATTAAAGTCGTCGTTTACACATATATGTTTCGATACTAGTTGCTTATCATAATATACAAATTATTTTCCATTTTTATCACGAATAAAAAATAATCATTATATAATAATTAATGATAACTAATGTGATAGTAAACCCATAATACAACTGTTTTAATTATGATAAAAATAAACACATAGTTTGTTCTTACAGATATTTGTATGACTGCAAAAGCAAACTTTAGAAATAGAAAAATTTATTAAAACAAATTGATTGACTGACGACACTATTTTTAGAAAAATATTTGATTCAAATTTTTAATTTTTTTTAAATAGTAAAAATGTTTATTTGATTTAACATCTAAATATAAACAAATTCTATTAACGTAAAATGTGTTTATTACAAAAACAAAAAACAATTAGTTCTTTAAATGTTATGCTCTGACAAAATTTAACAAAAAAACTAGATAACATTTTTAATATTTATATAAAATATATCATCGCAAAATTTTAAGAACTATTTTAGCGAAAAAAAATAATAACAACGGGAAAAAATGTACAAAAATGACTAAAATAAATATAAAAAATAAGTAAATACATCATTGTATTACAAAAATATAACTCACTAGTTGCTTTACAAAAATATAAAATATAACAAAATTCCATCAAACGTTTCTGAAACTAATTTTAAACTATTTTTTTTATTTATTTTTTTTTTTTTTATAGTGCTTTTATTTTAAACATTACAGCACAACAATTATAAATTTAAACTATTTTATCACGCTATTTAACTGTAACATTAAAATATATTAACAACCAACAAAATATTTCTTTCACGTATTTTATTTAATTATATACTTTGCATTTAAAAATACTAATGAATTTTAACAGTAAAAATATCCTTACATAATATATTAATGCAATTTAATAATAAATCGTTATTTTAATAAACTAAAGATCAAAAATTGTAAAAGTTACAAATTTTTTTATTTACCCTTCATTTATAATATATCAAGCTAGAAATCTAAACTATAATATGATGATTAGTTTAAAATTGAAAATTCAAAACACTTAATGTTTTGCATATTTCATACAACTTTAGGATAAAATATATATATTTTATTGATTTCCAAACGTGATTCGTTTTAAACAATGTAAAATTCAATATTATTTTACATAAACTATTTATTGTTATTGTTGCAGTAAAATGTTAATTTGACGACGATGGAACGATGTGTATTTAATCTATATCGCGCTATACACCAAAATACTCATATTATATTATCGTTATTGACTTAAATTATCATAATTAATATATTTATTGTTGATTTGTTAAAAATTTGTAATACAGAATTGATAATTT